AGATGTTACCTAGCCGGGTAATAAAACGTTTGCAAGAAAAGAACCAAGCTCAGAGAACCCCAAGGACTCCACAGTACTTTTATTGATTTTGGCTATAATAACATAATTGTGCTGTGCCTCCTCCTTATTCTTGTACTCCAGTGAATTAGGGAGTGTCTGTCTCAGTTGTTTCCAAATGTTATCTGGAAGTTCTGGACTTAAAAAAAGCTTCAGCCCCTTTTGCCTAGCCAATGGTTCCTGCATATTTCTGTCAAGGTCATCTTCCTTACTCTGTACATGTAGTTATCAGGACATTGAATTGCCTTACATTTCTCTCCCTTGAAGAACAATGAGCTTAATTGTGGCTTTAAAGACTTCCTTAAAAATTATGATCTTGCCCTAAGAAAACATAGTCCGTAAAGGACTGGTGCTTAAGAATGCGAAATGTATAAGATAACCATCTAATTGACACCTTTTCGGAAGACTGATGTGATACGGGTCTTTTAATTCTACTACTACAGATTATCATAAGGTAACAATCCAACAAGGGTAGTTATGTCTCAATACTCTGTGCACAAATGATACTATACATATAAATGGCCAAGGGTACAGAACCTACCCTGTGAGTCTATGTGAATGATAAACATGGGTGATCAGGAATTCTAAGCAAAAATGTAGCAGGAATGCTACAGGAATGAAAGATCTCTGTCCCTCCTCTGCCATCTCCTTGCAAATCTGATTTAAAAAAAGATGTTGTGATCTGGTAATCTTTCAGCTATACAGTAGTTACAGGGCTGTAACTAATGGCTGTATTTAGCATGTAATACTTCAGCAGTCTGCTATCATCTTATAAAGCATTAAAATATTCATGTATTATCTCATTGGTACTCAGTAAAACTCAGCTTTCGTTAAGTTAACAACAGTATACTGGCAAAAATGTTATGGAAAGCATGTGATTTGGTGGTCGGCAAGGCAGAACTTAGTCAGGAGTTTGTGCAATTCATTTAATCTGCTGTTCTGCTTTTTTTCAGGTGCTTGTACTTCTGTTCCTCTGAAACCGGCTACAGCTTCCACTTACCCTGCAGGTGGGCCTTTCCGGGTAGAATTCAGTGCTGCTTCTGGTGAAAGCATAGAAACAGTTTTATCCCAGGTCCATGCAATGCCAGAGGTGTCACTCATCACAACTCAACCTGCCAGGTATTATAGGAGACTATCCTAGGTTATTTTTTTTGACCAGTTTCAGTGTGCTAAAAGAGCAGGTTCTTCATCTGTGACCAGACAGCATTTTTGAAAATGTGTAGAAAGAAAGTACATATTATTTTACTATGCTAAAAGGCACTCTGTGGAGTCCTTGGGGTTCTCTGAGCTTGGCTGTTTTCTTGCAAACATTTTGTTACCAGGCTAGGTAACATCTTCAGTGCTAGCAGGGAGTGGGGTTTGCTCTCTGTTTATATACAGTGGCATGCCCAGCCAGTGTTGGTGGGGGTGGGGGTTTTGTTTTGTTTTAATTTTCCCCTCTGGTAGTTTCTTGATTAGGGTATTGTTTACTGCTGTTTGTATGTCTGGTGATAATCTTGGTGTTAATCTCTTCTTATCTGGGTGATGATTGCGGGTGAGGAGCTATTCTGGTCTTTTGTTTTCCTTTTTATTCTCTTTTGAATAG